CACAAGAACTCTGCCGACTTTAATATTCAACATCAGAAATCACTTTGCTGTATTTATCCATCGCATATTGTACGGAAGGATCCCATCCAGTTGGTAATAGAGAGAAACCTAATACCCTTTGTTAGACTTGTCGACTTTTCATTTCTTCCTTTACTGATACCATATTAGATCGTCCCTAGGACAAACAGACAACTGGCTTATCTTCTCCTAGACCAATATCAGCCAGCGCTAATGACAATTACGTCAACCATATTGGGATTAGGTGTCATTGTCGCCGTAGCTAGCAGAGTCGACTTTTCTCTAACTCTTCTTTCAAAGCAGCCTCTAATCTTACAATCGCCTTACAGGGAGGATGAAAGGCCAAAAAGGACCCGGGTTATTCTTCTGTTTTCATCTAATACTATTTCTGTTTTCTCACTAACTTATGCTGTCTGTCTGTGTCTGTCTTTGTCTGTCTGTGTGTCTAGTCTGTCTCTCGCTCCCCCCGCTTTAAATATCTCGCTATCCTTTCTCTTTCACACACACACACACACACACTTTATCACTCTCTAGCTAACTATTTCTTCCTTTCCAAAACTCTCTCTCTCTCTCTCTCTCTCTCTCTCTCTCTCTCTCTCTCTCTCTCTCCTCTCTCTCTCTCTCTCTGTCACAAACACACGTTCTGAGCTTTTAAACATACGTATACCAAGACCATAAATTCACCCGTTCGCATTCTTTTTCTCTCCCTTCCTCTCTTCTTCCCCTACTCTAACGCTTTCAACACATCAAATTTCTCTAGCGGCTCCAGTTTTAGCAAACATTGACTTCAATGGCAGTCCACTCGTCTCCATCAACCGATATTGTAAATTATGTTGATGTTCCAGAAATGTCCATATGTTTATAATTTTCCACATAATTATGTCTCCGTCTGTTCTCTCTTGCTTTTGTAATTCTCGGTATTAAGTTGATCTCATGATTTCCGTTGATATACTGTAAATTCTTTATGCGACATTTTGTTCTGTCTCCCACTTTGTGTTGTGTTAAGTTTCTCAATTTTGTATTGTCATTTATGTTCCTATTTTGTGTTGTGCAATGTTTCTCCATTTCTGTTTTTTTCCTCTCCATTTTGTGTTATGTTCACCTTTTTTTTTTTTTAGTTGGGATTTATTTCTCAATTTTGTGTTGTGTTTCTCCGACTGTATTTTGTTTCTGTATTTTATTTGTGTTTTTTTCTCTATTTTGTGTCGTGTGTGCTTCTTCCTAATGTTTGTGTCGTGTTGTGCTTCTTCTTAATGTTTGTGTCGTGTTGTGCTTCTTCCTAATATTTGTGTCGTGTTGTGCTTCTTCCTAATGTTTGTGTCGTGTTGTGCTTCTTCCTAATGTTTGTGGCGTGTTGTGCTTCTTCCTAATGTTTGTGTCGTGTTGTGCTTCTTCCTAATGTTTGTGTCGTGTTGTGCTTCTTCCTTATGTTTGTGTCGTGTTGTGCTTCTTCCTAATGTTTGTGTCGTGTTGTGCTTCTTCCTAATGTTTGTGTCGTGTTGTGCTTCTTCCTAATGTTTGTGTCGTGTTGTGCTTCTTCCTAATGTTTGTGTCATGTTGTACTTCTTCCTAATGTTTGTGTTGTGTTGTGCTTCTTCCTAATGTTTGTGTCGTGTTGTGCTTCTTCCTAATGTTTGTGTCGTGTTGTGCTTCTTCCTAATGTTTGTGTTGTGTTCTCTATTTTGTGTTTTGTTTGATTTCTCCATTTTCTATTGTATTGTGTTTCTCCATTATGTATTATGATTTATTTCTCCATTTTATGTTCTCATTTATTAATCCATTTTTTTTCTTTGGTGCGTGTTGTGACTTATTTCTACATTTTGTTTTGTGATTTGTTTCTAAATGTAGTGTTCTGATTTCTTTCTCAATTTCGTGTTTTGTTTCTTCATTTTGAATTGTGTTTTTTTTTCCCTCAATTTTGTGTTGTGTTTTGTTTCTCCAATTTGTGTTGTGTTTTGTTTCTCCAACTTGTGTTGTGTTTTGTTTCTCCAACTTGTGTTGTGTTTTTCCATTTGAGTTGCGATTTGTTTCTCCATTATGTGTTGTGTTTTCTTTCTCTTTTTTTCCAGTTATGTCTTGTTTCTCGATTTTGAATCGTGGTATCTTTCTCTAATATGCGTTGTTTTTCTCAATTTTGTGCTATGTTTTGTTTCTCCATTTTGTGCTATGTTTTGTTTCTCCATTTTGTGCTATGTTTTGTTTCTCCATTTTGTGCTATGTTTTGTTTCTCCATTTTGTGCTATGTTTTGTTTCTCCATTTTGTGCTATGTTTTGTTTCTCCATTTTGTGCTATGTTTTGTGTCTCCATTTTGTGCTATGTTTTGTTTCTCCATTTTGTGGGATGTTTTTCTTCTCCATTTTGTGTTGTTTTTCAGATGTGTTTTGTTTTGTGTTTCTTTCTTTCTGCTATATTTTATTTCTCCATTTTGTATTCTGCTGTGTTTCTCCATTTTGTGTTGTGTTTCTTCATTTTGTGTTGTTTCTCCATTTGGTATTCTGTTGTGTTTCTCCATTTTGTGTTGTGTTTTGTATCGCCATTTGAGTTGTGTTTTGTTTCTCCATTATGTGTTGCAATTTTTTTATTTGTGTGTGTGTGTGTGTTTTTTTTTTTAAATTTCTTCTTCGTGTTGTGATTTTTTTCTTTCCAGTTTTTGTTGGTTTTCTCCAGATTTAATTGCGATTTATTTCTTCATTTTGTGTTTTGTTTCTCCATTTTGTTTTGTGTCTTGTTTTTTGTTTGTTTTAATTCTGTGTTGTGTTTTGTTTCTCTTTGTCGGCTATATTTCCTTTCTCAGTTTGAGTTGTGTTTTGTTTCTAAATTTGAATTGTGTTTTGTATCTCCACTTTGTGTTGTGTTTTGTTTCTCCACTTTGTGTAGTGTTTTGTATCTCCACTTTGTGTTGTGTTTTGTTTCTCCACTTTGTGTAGTGTTTTGTATCTCCACTTTGTGTTGTGTTTTGTTTCTCCACTTTGTATTCTGTTTTGTTTCTATATTTTGTGTTGTATTTTGTTTCTTTATTTGAGTTGTGTTTTATTTCTCCATTATATGTTGCAATTTGTTTCTTCATTGTTTGTTTTATTTCTTCATTTTGTGTTGTTTTTCTCTATTGTAGGTTGCGATTTATTTCTTCATTTTGTGTTTTGTTTCGACAATTTGTTTTAGGTTTCGTTTTTTATTCTGTATTCTGTTTTGTTTCTGTCTGTTTACTATATTTTGTTTCTCAATTTGAGATGTGTTTTGTTTCTCCATGTTTTATTGTGTTTGTTAATTTAGCGTTGTATTTTGTTTCTCTATTTTGTATTTTTTCCCTCCATTTTGTGTTGTTCTTTGTTAATGCTTTTCGTGTTTTATTTAATTTCTCCACTTTGTGTTGTGATTCATTTCTACATTTTGTTTTGTGATTTATTTCTACATTTTGTATTGTGATTTGTTTCTAAATTTTGTGTTGTGATTTTTTTTTTTCTCAATTGTGTATTTGTTTTTCCATTTTGAATTCGGTTGTGTTTCTACATTTTGTATTGTGTTTTGTTTCTCCATTTTGTGATGTGTTTTGCTTCCCCATTTTGGTTATGTTTTGTTTCTCCATTTTGTGTTATCTTCTGCCTTTTCCCTTGTGTTTTGTGTTGTGTTTCTAAATTTTGTATTGTGATTCTCCCTTATGTTTTGTGTCTTATAACTCCATTTTATGTTGTGCTTTGTTTCTTAACCATATGTTGTGTTGTGTTCGCCCATTTTTGTGTTGTGATTTGTTTCTCAATCTTTTGTAGTGATTTATTTATCTACTTTGTGTCGTGGTTTATTGCTCCATTTTGTGTTGCGATTTATTTCTATATTTTGTTTTTTGTCTTATTTTTCCATTTTGGAGTGTGTTTTGTTTCTCCATTTTGTGTTTTGTTGTGTTTCTCTAATTTGTGTTGCGTTTTGTTTCTCCATTTTGTGTAGTGTTTCTCCCTTATGTTTTGTTGTTCCATTTTGTATTGTCATTTGTTTCTTCATTTTGTGTTGTGTTTCTCTGTTTTGTGTTTAGTTTTTCCATGTTGCCTTTGTTATGTTTCTCAGTTTTATTTTGTATTTTGATTCTCTATTTTGTTTTGTGCGTGTGTTTTTTTTTTTAATTTTGTGTTGTGTTGTATTTCAATCTGTTTTGAATTTTGTTTCTTTTTTTTTTCTTTTTTTGTGTGCGTGTGCTGTGTTTGTTTCTCCATTTTGGACTGTGTTTTGTTTCTCCATTCTGTGTTTTTTTCCTCCATTTCTGCTGTCTTTTGTGCCTCCATTTTAGTTGTGTTTTGATTTCCCATTTTGTGTTGTATTTCTCTATTTTGTGTTTTGTTTTGTTTCTCCATTTTGTGTTGTTTTTCTTTCTCCGTTTGAGTTGTTTTATTTTTCTCTTCGTGTGTGTGTGTGGGTGTGTGTGTGTGGGTGTGTGTGTGTGTGTGTGTGTGTGTGTGGGTGTGTGTGTGTGTGTGTATGTGTGTGTGTGTGTGTGTGTGTGGAATCGAAAGTGATAACATTAAAACATTCACAATGGAAAGTCGGAGAGCATATAATATCCTAAAATCCAACTTGTTCAAGGATTTAAGAAACGAGCCACTCGTGAAAATAATCGGTTTAGTTAAGTTACTGCTAAACATTTGCTGCATCTGTTCACTACATGTAGAACAAGGACAATCACAGTGGTACCTTAGAATACGACCATAATCCGTTTCGATACTGTGATCGAATTCCAAATGGTTCGAGCTCCAAGGCAATTTTTCCACATTAAATATAATTGAAACTACAATTCAAAAACAAAATTTTTCTTTTTATTGTCATACAATTATCGGAAAATATAGTCAGAATTGATGATCATATGTGAATAAAAACACAAATAAATTAAAAAAATTTTTTGTTAACATGGAATTTCTTGTACTTTGATAAAAACAGTGACACTGCACATAGAATTAGGAGGAGGAAAAAAGGACGTTCGGGGGGAAGAGGGCGTTTAGGTAGAATAATGTTTGGAAAGTGCGTCTTTCTTATCGTAGTCTTTCATTTCGTAGTCTTTCATATTGTAATCTTTCATATCGTAGTCTTTCATATCGTAGTCTTTCATATCGTAGTCTTTCATATCGTAGTCTTTCATATTGTAGTCTTTCATATCATAGTCTTTCATATCGTAGTCTTTCATATCGTAGTCTTTCATATCATAGTCTTTCATATCGTAGTCTTTCATATCGTAGTCTTTCATATCATAGTCTTTCATATCGTAGTCTTTCATATCGTAGTCTTTCATATCGTAGTCTTTCATATCGTAGTCTTTCATATCATAGTCTTTCATATCGTAGTCTTTCATATCATAGTCTTTCATATCGTAGTCTTTCATATCGTAGTCTTTCATATCGTAGTCTTTCATATCATAGTCTTTCATATCGTAGTCTTTCATATCGTAGGAAAAGTTTCATGTTGTTCAGATTCCAGGATGTTTGATTTCCGAGGTACTGCTGAAGGCACACGCAAGTGGGATGCCGTGTCAACGGTGCTGCTGACTTTTAAATGTTTTCAGGTTGTTGTCTGAAGCTGCTCGATGAAGATGTAAAAGAGAAGGAAAATAAAAGTAAAAGCAGAAAATGGCGAGGAGATGAGGCAGGGGAAAAGAAGAAGATGATGATGATGACGACGATGGTGCTGATGATTATTATGATTATAGTAATGATGCCGAGAAGGGCCAGGATGAGGAGGGGATGAAAAGGAGGAGGAGGATCTCAGTAAGAATAAATCTAAAAGATGCAGCAGGTTAAAAGGAAAATCTAAATATCCATGAACAGTTGTATGTGGACGCTGAGCCTTCAATATATCCACACAAGAAACAGTGTCTATAAGTAAAAAATTAAAGACACTTTCTTTGTCTTGAGGTCATATGGTGTTTTTCCCAGATTCCTGAAACCAGCAGATAAGTGATGTTATATCCACGCCGGATGCTTCTACTTCTCAGATAATTTCCCGGTTCCAATTTGTAGGTTGAAATAGAGAGAGATTGAGAGAGAGAGAGAGAGAGAGAGAGAGAGAGAGAGAGAGAGAGAGAGAGAGAGAGAGAGAGAGAGAGAGAGAGAGAGAGAGGGGGGGGGCGGGAAAAGCTAATCAATCAATCATGTGCCATCTCCACAGTGAAAGTTGGCTGTAATAGATCTCCAACACAATCTGTCTCTTTTCCTGGTTGTAGACTCTCTTAGACTTCTGCCTGTCCATCTCTTGATGTTGTCCTCCCACTTGTATCGTTACCTACCTCTTGCCATAAACCCGAAGTTAATTTGAAAATTATTTTTTCTCGTTGCGGATTCAATCCGCCCACCACAAGACGACTAGACAAGAGTGCCAGCCACTGCGACATCACGTCCTCATCACACCATTATTATCTCATTAATTGTGATTGCTGTCATCCTCGAAAACAATGTAATCTTTCTGACGTGCAATATGTTCTGCGTGAAAAAAAGAAGTTTTGTGGACAGCTTCCTCAAATTCCTTACTCTAAAAAATGTGTGTTTATTCCTTAAGTCTCCCGTTTCTGCTAAAAAATGAAGTCTTTATGTGAGATCTCACCCTGCCTCCTGTCCTCTCATCCGAGCTGTACAATCTGTTCATTAGCCCTAATACATCTTGTTCGTCCGGCCGCCCTTCGACCGATGGAGGTTTTTCCCCTTGGTCTCATTTCTCTTAATGTCCCTTCTATTTGCACGGACGATTTGGTCGGCTCTTTCGCTCGGAATCACGGCCGTAGACTTAGGAAGATGATTCCCAATTTCCAGCAGCTTATTGCATCGCTTCTCCGCCTGCAGGAACGTCGCCTGAAGAAAAGATGAGGAAAGAAATTGGGAAGGCATGAAGGAGTACGATGTTCGGTAGTGGGCATGAGGAGGAATAAGAGACTTAGTTCTTTATAAAGCGCGGTTTAGTCTGAGAGCAAGCACCAGAAATTTGGAGATGATCATGGACCCTCCTAGAGGCTAAGCCCCTTGATATTTGCTTCTTTAATTCGAGTCCCTAATCGCCAGGAGGAATTGAATTGCCGCTATATCCTTTTGTCCTTCTGCCTCATTTGCCGCCAAGCCGTGTTTACCAAGGAAATGATATTTTCTGGTCCAAGAACATCCTGAGCTATGCCTTTAACAAGTAACTCAGTATTGCGTTCTTGGAAAAACTCAGGTCTCGCTGAACGTAGGAAAGAAGATTCAATCCGTGAGCCATTCAAAACTCACCAATCACATTTTCCGCTGGTGCCCGTTAACGGGGTCTTCTCCAGTCTCATCAGAACGGAGCTGCTCTCGTCTGCTTGTTAAAAGATTTGAACGTTAATCTCTACTAGTCGTCACTTCGTTTACCACGTGTAATTCGCCCCAAGATGAAATTTGCGGAGACACTTCGGTTGATTTTCTGAATCAGCGCTACTAATTTGCTCGGGAAATATTTTGTCAATTACCCATTGTGACTGCCCGGGAAGCGATTTTATGGCCTGGCGATCGTGTTCTGACTTTGTTTGCAAGGGACTTGAGCGAGAGAATAGAGTGGGTGATTGAAGTCTGACCTCTGGTGTGGCCCTTATCTGGTCTTGAAAATGACGCCATTACGACATTTTGATGCAGCTAACTCACTGGCTGGCTCTAAACGAAGTTTCCGGACATCAGTCTTGCATTTACCCACTGTTCCGTTTTCCGCTTTGTCAAAATGTCATTTTATTTCTTGGTTTTAGAATTACTTTATGGTTCATTTATTTTCCAATATCTGTTGGGATTTGTTACGCTAGGTTAGCCTTCTTTTCATTCCCTGTCGTGAATAGACGGAACCTTTCTCAGTGATGGCATAATAATCATGAGTAAATAAGTTTCATGATTGCTTCTGTTATACCATTATTGTATAGGACAATGTTTGGCCATCTCTATCTGATCACCACCTGGTTCTATAACAACCACATAATTTGTAATTATCTGTTATAATAACCTGGGAGCCCATCATCCTCTTGAAAGAAAAAAAAAAAAAAAAACTCAGTTAAACCAGTAACCATCTTATATAATAACAAATAAATCCACGACTTCCTTGCATAATACCAACAGTGAATTCATCGATTTTATCATAACCATTAAATAATAACCTCTTTTATAGTAACTAATAAACCTGTTAACAGTAACCATAAACGATCGACTCCCTTTTTTATAATAACTATTACAACAGTGACACCTTTGTTAATAACAGTAACAAAACCACCCTCTTTTAAATTAACCATAAACAAAAAAATCTTCCTTTATAATACGTTTCTGAAGTAGCATCTCCTTGGGAACTATTGATGAACTTGTTCCTGTTCAGAAATTAGTGCAGTGTGCAAGGCTGGTATACTGTAGAACTTCCCATCTGGCTCTGCACAACTTGGTGGAATGCTGATGCAAGATAAGGCAGACGTGGTTAGTGCCTTGTGGGAGAGCGTGTACGGTTCGGAGGAGCAGATGGATCACCACAGTCTGGTGAGATTGATGCAGGGGGGAGTGACGAAAGGTTCTGGCAGATGCTCGAGGCTCAGAGGAAAGTCAAGACGGACGTTTAATCAAAATGCTACTGGTCCCATTAGTATCGGAACTCTTCACTGGCTGCTGAAGATGGGGACGGAGCGCATATGGGAATGCCCCGAGTGCTGTGATTTCGGTTCTTGAATCAGCTCAACTCAACTCCCATCTTTTATTAGAATATAACTAGTTTATGATTCATCCCACATGCATCCTTTGGACACACTATAAGAAGAAGCGAATAGAGAATCCCGAAACAGGCACTGACATAAGAAACAAATGAACTGAGAGGAAGAGGACTTTCAAGAGACACGTTGCTGAGAAAGTCCTAAGGTGCTGGACTGGAGTCCATCCATTTCTTTTTCTTCATCGTTTTCACCGGCTGTAAACTTCAGTGGAAAGTTCTGGTTGTTCTTCAACCTCTTGACTTTAGTCTTGTCCCAGAACCTGTGTGCTGCATGCATATTCGTTTGACAAATCTGACTTTTTAGAAGCAGACTGTTGGTTCCTTGCCTTTCAGGCAGATGCACTCTGACTTTGATGGAAGCCCCCACCCCCTCTCCCCCCCCCCCGTTAGTCGACTCTTACTACATGCTAGACTACAAACCCCGGCACGTCTGGATGGTGTTGATAATTCGTCACAGAACATTGCATCTGGTTGGTATTAGACCTAAGTTAGCGATGTTCCTTCTTCTTCTACTTCTTTGCGTTCACCGGCTGGATATGGTTCCTTGCCTCTCAGGCAGGTGCTCTCTGCATTTGAAGGAAATCCCCAATTAGTCGACTCTTACTCTTACTGTATGCTTGTTAGGTGACATTGCGTCTACTATCCCATACCCCCTTCCCCACTCCGTCCCCTTCCCCCTAATGAGCTCCGGGAACCTACACAATATTTCTGCAGCGGGATTTAGGTATTTCATTGTTACCGTGTGGGATCATGGCCTCATGGAGGTGGGGGTCAGGTGGGGGTCAGGTGGGGGTCAGGTGGGGGGCAGGTGGGGGCAGGTGGGGGGAGGGGGAGTGGGCAAATAAAGACAGACCCACTGTCCCCTAACCTATTAGGGGTGTTTCTTTCAGAGTTCGTCTGCCGAAGAGACAGAGAACCAACTGCCTTCATAAACGAAAAGTTTTGGAGTAAGGCTGAAGTCCCGAAGTTGATAAACAACCCTAACTTTCTGCTGAGGTGTACAGCCATGGAACGATAAACAGATGAAGAACAGGAGCTAAGTTTGTAAATTGTAAACATTTCCACGGCTGAGGTGAGGGGGAGGGGGAGGGGGAGGGAATAGAAAATAGTCTTTAAATAATAGAGATCTGTAAAATGGATGTGCACACAAAACTCAAAAATCTGCAATCCAGCCACATTTCAGAAGTGGACGAACAATCCGAAATTTTACAACCAGTGAACTCTAAGAAGAAGAGGGAAGTATTTCATTGTCAACAGACTCCAAGCCGATGTCCAGAGGGAATTTAACGACCAATGAAACAGACGACCATTGATCCTCTCATGAGCAAATAGCCTGACTTCATGGTGAGGTTTGGACGTCTTATTGACCTGGTCAAGCCCAGTTAATGACCAGAGTATTAGTCCTAGACTGCTAATGTTTTAGGGTCTTAGGTCTGTGACGGGCACTCACTTATTGGCCAGAGGATGCGAGTGTACTATGGGGCCACATATACCACGCTATTGTCTTGTAACCTGTCAATATTGTTGTTAACGATGACAAGAGTGACCTCACGGCGCAGTCCAACACTGTGACGTCATAAAGACAGTTTAAAAATGAGATGCCCCACTTTTGACCTCCACCAAAGAGGAGCAGCGTTCTGTTATCCGTTTTATGATCAGTGAAGGGGTGAAACTTATAGAAACTTATCGTTTAATTAGGATCCAGTATGGTAATGCAGGTGTTGCATCAGTTAGCTGAAGATGTCAACACAGAAGTCTGCTGGGATCAGATCAAATGAATCTGGAATGAATCTTGCGTAGAAGTTCTTGGCAAGAAAGAAAAGGAAACATAAAGCATGGATAACACCAGAAACCATTAAACTGATTGAAGATAGGAAAAGTAAAAAGGCAGACCCAAAGGCAGAATTAAACAATAGCAAAACTAGAGCTGCTAAAGCTAGAGCTCAGGAGAAATACACAGAAGCCAACAAGGAAGTTAGCAGGCATATAATGGTAGATAAAGTGAAATATCTAAATGATCTAGCACAAGAAGCAGAGACAGCAGCAGCAAAATGAAACCTCGGAGAACTTCACAGTAACACAAGAAAACTAGTAGGTAAATATAGTCAGCCAACTGGATCAATCAAGAATGGTCAAGGAAAAGTACTTACTAACACTAAAGATCAAATGAACAGATGGGTTGAATATTTTGAAATGCTTCTAAATAGACCAGGCCCAGAGGTTCCCCCAGATATCCAGCCTTTCGAAATGGAACTGGATATCAACTGTGAGATACCATCCAAAGAAGAAATAAGAAAAGCTATAAATCTTCTCAAGGAAGGAAAGGCGACAGGCCCAGACGGTATCCCAGCTGAAGCCATCAGGACCAACATAAACACATCAACAGAATTGCTACATAGATTATTCAGTAAAGTCTGGGAGACCGAAGAAATACCGACAGACTGGAGAGAAGGATATCTTGTGAAACTGCCCAAAAAAGGTGATCTACGGGAGTGTGAAAACTATAAAGGAATTATGTTGCTGTCAGTTCCTGGAAAAATATTAAGTAGAATTATTTTGGAAAGATTAAAAGATGCTATTGATAAAATGCTAAGAGATGAGCAGGCAGGTTTTCGGTCAAACAGATCCTGTACTGACCAGATAGCTCCATGCAATGGCGAAGGATAGAACGACTTGGCGTGAGTTGGTTGAGCGCCTATGCTCCATTGGGGGATAGAAAGGCAGAAGAAGAAGAATAGTAATGCATGCCTGTCAGTCCAGCGATCGCTGGAGTGGAGAAGTAAGTTTCCAAACGGCATGACTCTTCACAACCCAGTCGAATACGCGTAAAAAGGTGGGGAGGGGATGGAGGTGGCGGGGGGGGGGGGGATACCATCTCTAGAATTGAGGTTTCATTTTATCCATTAACCATTCGCAAAACGAGACACAACTTTTGTTTTTATATCAAGCTCCACGCAGGCTAGACTTCAGGATACTTCGTACCAGCTGCTAGGGACCCTGATATAACCTTACGATTAAACAGTGTTTCTGAGACGTGCGCCTCGGAGATTCTCTTCCGAATGGTGGCATTATGTGTCACCTGGTGTTACTCGCTCGTGGTACAGTCCTAGTGGGGTTAAACGTCACGCACTCGTTGTATCCAATGGTAACTATAGGAATATTATCCATCTTTTCTACAACGCAACTCTCGTATCACTGTTTAAAAACCACGAGGTATTTTTCTAATCCGTCAACTGAAGGAATTGATTCCCGGTAAGCGTCAGTAATTGCGTTGTGAAAGTATTCCCCTAACACACTGGTGGGCAAACGCATTAGTCAAAACAGCCAAAGGTCAGCAACAGGAAGATTAAAAATTGTTTGAGAGCCAAATTTATTTGCTATATGTGGAAATGGATCTACGCCATTTATGAGCGGATCAATGTTTACGCCGTTCTCATTACTCTTGCCATTTTTCATTTGATGTTCTGCGTAGATATTGAACACCTTTCAAAGTATGACGCGTCCCTGTCTGAAACTTGTTTGCACCTCACATCAGGCTGATGTTTCTGCGGCTGCTCTGACAGCTGCTTGTTGTTCAAGATACATAATTTCATTTAGGTGGACCAGGGGAGTTGAAAATCCCACCTCTGTTATGATAATCTACGATTGTTGTTGTACACAATCTAAAGCCTTCTGTAGTTTATGAATCGAGAAAGGTTTACATTACACTCTCTTATCATCATCATCATCATTATTATCATCA